AAATGAAAAAGCCTATATACAAAATGCGTATTTTTAGTGATGCTTATTAAGGATTCCCACCACCCTGGCCTCCCCAAAAAATCCAACAACAACAGTAACAACAGCTGAGGCCTCCAATAAAGGATTAAAGCCTGAAGACACAGATACTATGGATTTTACTTCCAGGTGCTTCTGGAAGGATGTATGTGTCTTGATCTGGGTAGAAAGATAAAAATCCCATGCTAACATCCCCAGATCAGGTTATGAGATACTGCAGTACAAAAACAGAACAAAACAACAAACTTCTAATATTTCCCTTTTCCAAGGTCCCATCCATGCATTTCACCTCCTTGCCTTATCTGTTTGTCTGTAGTCTTTGCTCCTACATCTGTGCTTTGGGTCTTTTAGTAAAATTAGTTGATGAGATTAAGGAGGGAGATACTGATGGAGTAGAAAGACTGGCAGAGCCCATCTTGCTATTTTCTTATTGTATAGATACTGACATGATCTCATGACATTCACAGAGGGTGTGAAACTTTGTTATCTGTTTAGTTCCAGAGCTGAGGGTTACAAAGAGCAACAAAGTAAACAGTAAAGATGCAATTAAGTTTGTCTATGACCTGAATTTCTAATTTAACTTTTAACTCTTCTAACCAGAATCTAAAGAATGCTGTGTAGGTGCAGTAAACAGGTTAACATCACTGGAGGCTTCTGTTCAGTACTGTAAAGTATATTAGAGTGTCTTATTATCTAAGAGATAGGTCAGCAGTCATGTACAGGAGGATTGGAAAATGCCTCCATTTCCAGTGCCATTTGTTTCATTTGAGAATAGGGATTATGTCTTAGATAAACTTTGTATCTCCCTAGTGTTTATGAGAATGTTTAGCAAATGTTTATGTATTATATTCTACGTGACCAAATATTCTATGTGACCAAATCATTTAACTTTCTGAGGCTCTGTATCTTTAAAAAAAAAAAAAGGCATAATAATTCTATTACCTATGACATAAGGCTATTGTATGGATCAAATGAGATGAATGTAAAGTACTATATGTCAGTTATTTCTCCACTAAGGTCCTAATCTAATACAGTTTACCAAGCTTTTAGCAAAGCATTTGAAAAAGTTATCTCCTGCTATCATTGTGGGAAAGATAAAAGATCTGTGTATCTTTAGGTGAATTTGGAGCTGGCTGAATGTCTAGAGCATAAAAGGAGTCATTAATAGCTTGAGATCTACTTAGAAGGAGGTCTCTGGTAGACTGCCTCAAGGAGCTCAGTTTCCTTTGCTTTTTAAATTTTTTTATATCAGTATCTTGGATAAAGGCATCAGAAGGCATGCTTATTTAATCTGCAGATGACACAAAGTTGGGAGGACGAGTAAGGATTCAAACAGATTTTTGACAGGCTAAAACGTTGTGCCGAATTTAACAGGATGAATACAATCTTAAATTTGTGCTTCAACAGTACAAGATGGGGGTGGGCCCAGTGGCTAGAAGGCACGTTATCTGAAAATGACTTTAGTGAATCACAAGATCATTATAAATCAGTGTGTGATTCAGCAGCCACAAAAACTAAGGCAGCCTTAGAGCTGCATTAAGTGATGTGTAATGTTCTGAAAGTCAGAATCCCAGTGTACTCTGTGCTAGTCAGGCAACATGTAGAGTCTCCATTTCTGGATACCACAATTTATTTTAGTCTTTAAAAAAATTAATCTGTCTATTTCTCCACCCCCCCACCCCCTTTTCTACTTCTTTGACAGCTCCCCTTTCCAGTTTGGAGAAATCTCTGTCCCGAGGTCCTTAGTGCTTACCACAGTGCTTTCACATAGTAATTGCTTAATAAAGGTTCTCTGGTGCTCTTCCCCAGCGCCCCACCCCACGTGCCTCTGCCATCTTTCTTTTGACCTCTCTGTCTTTACATTACCTACATTTACCAATGTATCCCTCCCAGAGAGCTATTCAGAATATTGTTATTAATAATAGCTAACATTTATATAGCACCTTCTATCTCCCAGGCAGTGTGCTAAGTGCTTCCTAAAGATCTCATTTGATCCTCACAACACACCTGGAAGGTAGGTGCTATTATTATCCCTATTCCACTGTTGAGGAAGAGTTCCTCAAGAAGAGACTGGATGAACACTTGGTTATATTTAATAGGGGATTCTTATTCTGTTATCACTTGGACTAGGTAGCTTCTAATATCCCTTCCAGTTCTGAGATTCTATGATAATCTCTTCTCCTTTCATCTTTCCTCCTACTTTATTTACTCCTCCTAAACCTGTTCTTCATCTGACCATGACCTGGACACTCTCAATTTCTACCTGTTCTCCCAAACTATCAGTCCTACTGAGTCCTCACTACACTGTTTTCAGTCTTTACTTTGTGATTGACCATTTCTGTATACTTAACTCAAATCCCTTTTCCCCTGGTCCTACTTATATCCTATCAGATATTCAACCCTATATCCCTCCGTCCTCTCCTCCCCCAGCCATTTGTTTTCTGTGCATCTACACCACTAATTAAACTTAGAATTGAGATAAGGTCCAATAAAGTTCATATTATCTAATCTCAACTGGGCTCTCTGGCCAAGCAATCCTTTTATTCTTTTTTTATATAACTCTCAGAGGTTATTTCAAACCCTCTTGTCTCTCTTCACTTCCCTTATGACTCCCCTAGTATTCTCTTTCTTGTAAATGACCTCACCTACTACTTTACTGAGAAATTTAAATGGCCATCCATCATTAGCTTTTTTATCTTCTCTACTCCACACCTCAAAATCTATATACATCTTCAGCCATTTGCTCTACCTTTGCTACAGTGCCCAAGAAAGAAATGGCTTTTCTCCTTGTCAGTATCAAGGCTGCTACTTGTGCCCTTGATCCCTATCACCTCCTGTTTTCCCTGGAGTTTGTCCTGCTCCCAGTGATCACTGCCTCCCTCTCACTCATCTCCCTTAGTATCTTGCAGCCCACTAACACCCAAGCACTCCCTTCTCACCTCTGCCAATTAGAATTCCTAATTTCCTTGAACGTTGAGCTCAAGCACCATCCCTACATGATTGTTCCTGATCTTTCCAACTGCTAGTGAGTTCCTTTTTCCTGAAATTACCTTGCATCTATCTTTGATAAACTTATACATGTTACATGTAGATAGACTACATACAAATACCTTAAAGGTCAGGATTGTTTCTTTTTCGTCTTTGTATTCCCACACCTAACAGTGCCTGGCATACAAAAGGCACTTAAATGCTTATTTTTGATTGACTGATCAATAAGTTCAGATAGGTAGTCTGGCGTAAGTTTGCAGAGGGCCTTGGATAGGGCAGTTCCCTTCTTCAGGAAGGCAGCTTCATCTGGGGGATGATGGAAAAATGTAAGCAACTCACACTTCCTTTTTTGCAGATGGGATTCCCTCAGACTGGCAAGTAATACGAACATATTTTTAAGTGGGGCTTTGGAGCAATCAATGAGAAATGAGAAGGGGGAGACAAGAGATAATAAGCTTTGAAAAGAAAGGGATGTCTGTGCTTCATCAATCTAGCCCGAATCTTCCACGACTTCCATGGACGCCTTACTTGACCACAGTGTAAAGAGTCAACGCACCGGCCTCATTCCTAAAACCACAAATATACACGAGTTCCAGGATTTCATCCTCAGTGGAAGGTGCCTCCCTCCGGCCCAGACTACAACTCCCAGAAAGCTCCTCTCTCGTCCCGGACACAACCTTCAGGACACTCTTCCCTCCTGCCCAGCCTACATCCCCCATGATGCTCCTCTTTCGAGATCTTGGGCAAGTCACTTAATAGCTCTAAATCTCCGTTTCTTCGGCAGTAAAACAAGAGACCTAGATAGCTTCTAACGTCACTCCCAGCGCTCAATAGAGGTTCACATATGACTTTCATCCCTCACAGACCATACCCCTCAGTAAAGCTTCTCTCCCATTATATTCCCAGGCACGCGCCTCCTTCTGGGACTACATCTCCCAGGAAGCTCCTCTTCTCCTCTTCCCGACTACATTTTCCGGGAAGTTCCTCCTCCCAAATTACATCTGCCTGAAAACTCCCTCCCAAACTATAACCCCGAGTATGCTTCTGGTCCAGGAGGTCAAAAAATTAAGGAAGGATGGGAGTGATCGAGTCATTCGAAAAACAGTCGTTTTTCCCAGCCCTTATCTCACTTTTCTTTCAGAGCTCAGACAACCTTATTGCCTTCCAGACCCCGAAGGCCGACTCACCGCTTACCCGAGTGGAGCCCAGGTGGCAGTCGTTGAAAGAGGAGCAGGTCAGCCACAAATATCCCGGGCGACAATTCCCAAAACACTTCCGACACAATGTGGAGGGCTCATAAATTTAACCCTTCACTCTCGCGGAAGTGGCGTTTATAGCTTCACTCGAGTTTCCCAGTCCTAAAACTATATATTCCATATATTCCAGAATGGTAATTTACAAAGAAAAAAAAAGGGGGGGGGATGCTGGAGTTTATGGTGCCCAGAGCTTTTTCTCACGGAAGTTATCATGAAGTCGGCTTTGATTGGCTCGGATAAATTATCCTCTTTGCTCATTGGTTGAGGGGCAGTCATAGCTTCCGGGTAGCATCGCCGTGCATCTTGGATGGTGCAGTCCCTATTCCTGGGGGAGGGGGTCTCCCGACCGTGCTTTCGTTTCCCAGAATGCGCCTTGGGAAAGTCGGGGTCAGAGTGCTGGCAGCGGAGCCAGAAGCCGCCACTTCCACGGCAGCTGGCAGTGAGTGTCCCCGGAGGCGCGGCATCCACGCTGGGCCGGGGCGGCTCGGCGTCCCCCCGTGCCCGCCTCCGAGAGCCCCCCGCAGTGTCCCGAGCAGGCCAGTGCCGGTCCCTGCCACCCGCGGAGCCCCAGGGACTAGCAGGGTCCCGGTGAGCGGTTGATGTCGGTTGGTTTTCGATCCCTGAGCCGCTGGGCAGAGCCCGAGGGGACGCCATGGGGACCCCGGCCGACGGCGCCCGGGCGAGGCCGGATGCCCAGGCGCCGCCCCTTGGCTGGCGGGCGGACGGAGGGGCCCCGAGCCACGACAGCAGCGATGATCGGAGTAACGAGGACGGCGCAGCCGCCTGCAGCGTGTTACCGTTCCCAGAGACCGCTTCCCCCGTCTCTGAGTGAGGTAGGGCAGGCTTGTACTATCGTACCCATTTTACCGATGTCAGTGAAGTCTAGTGACTTGTTGCATTTCGTCTGTCCAACACCGATTAAGCTCGTTGCGGTAGGCGCTGAGGAGATAAAAAGCTTTTAGCTTTGTACAGTCTGTGCCTCCTGCAGGCTGCAATCCTGTAACAAGGAGGAAGAGTCCTGCCTACCGCAAGTGTCATTCCCGTTATACAAGTATGGAAACTGAGGTCGTCTGTTTGGAAGTGAGACCTCATTCAGTGAATTCCCCCTTGTACTCCGTCTGCCTCTTTGTGCTTAACAAGGTCTTCCTGTTGTTGTCTTGAGGGGCTCCTGGGGATTACTCTCTGTTCCCGGAACTCTGGCTTAGCCCAGTGCCTGGCACATAGGTGCCTAATAAAGGCTTATTCTCTTCCACCCCATTTCCCCAACTCAGCATTCTGTGACTGCCTTTGTCTCCCTGTCTGAAATGTGCTCCCCCGCACCTCCACTTCTTAGAACCCCCATCTTTGTTCAAGGCTTGGTTCATATGCCATGTCCAAAGGTAAGCCTTTGCTGATAATCCTTTCCCTCCAGTACCCTCTACTTTGTAGAATTAGGTGAATTTATTTATTTCCCTGTGTATCTGTTGAATTCCCTCCCCTAATAGAATATATTATATATGTAATTAGAATATATATACATAGACTATATATATGTATAAATAGAATATAAATAATATATATATAAAAGCTCCTTGTGGACAAGGCCAGCTTTTGTTTTTTCTTTTTATCTTTAGTGTTTACTACTATGCTTTGCTCATATTGGACACTTAAATGCCTGTTAGATTGGATTAGAGGGAGTTTCTAAATGTTAGAAAGTTCTTCCTTGAATTGAATTGAACCTCTATTTGTCTCCTTGTAATTTACAGCCATCTATCTTAGTCTTATTGAATTGTAAATTCCTTGAAGACATTGACTATGTTGTTTATGTCTCTATCCACAGGGCCTTGCAAACAGTAAAGATTTAATAAATACTTGTTGAATCGAATTAAGATTTGAGAGGTGAAATGATTTGCCTGGAGAGATAGCTAAGCAGATCCTAGAGATGGCATTCAGACCCCCATGTCCTGACTCCAAGTCTTGTGCTCTTTCCACTATAACAGGCTTCCTCTCTAGGTATGCATGCAGAGTCAAAGAATATGATGACAGGTATAATTTGGCCCTTTTTCTGGGGACTTCAGGAAATTTCCTTTCCCTCTTGGAAATGAGGTAGGCTGGTTGGGACCCCTTTGCCTTACCCAGTGTTGAACCCAGAAGATTCTGATACAGTCTTGCACCTGCTTTGTGGAACACTTCTTCTCTATGCAGGTGGGATCCCAGCTCCTTTTCTTTTTTATTATGTTTGAGGAAAAACACTGACACTAAATTTTTTGTATCTAAGAGCCATAGAATCTTAGATTTGGAAGGCTATTTCAGGTTAACTTTCCACTTGATGCAGGAATCCACTTTTTAATATTTCAGAGTAGTAGTCATCCAGACCAGGATGTCAAACTCATTGCTGTAAAGGCAACTCCTTCTTTTGTTGAATAGCTCCATTTGTTTTTTTTTTCTAATTAATTTATTTTTAGTTTTCAACAATCACTTCTATAAGCTTTTGAGTTTAAAATTTTCTCCCCCTTCCCTCCTCACCTCCCTCTCCAAGACGATGTACAATCTGATATAGGCTCTACATATACATTCCTGTTAAACATATTTTCACATTAGTCATGTTATAAAGAAGAATTAGAACCGATAGGAGGAACCACGACAAAGAGGAAACAAAACAAAACGGAAGGAAAAAAAAAGCAAATTGGGTACTTCAATCTGCATTCAAACTCTACAATTCTTTCTCTGGATGTGGATAGCATTTTCTATCATGAGACTTTTGGAGATGTCTTAGATCCTTGCATTGATGAGAAGGGCTAAGTCTATCAAAGTTAGTCATTGCACAATGTGGCTGTTACTGTGTACAACATTCTCCTGGTTCTGCTCACTTCACTCAGCATCAGTCCATACAAGTCTTCCCAGGTTTTTCTGAAGTCTGCCTGCTCATCATTTCTTATAGCACAATAATATTCCATTACATTTGTATACCACATCTTATTCAGCCATTCCCCAATTGATGGGCATCCCCTCAATTTCGAATTCTTTGCTACCACAGAAAGAGCTGCTATAAATATTTTTGTATATGTGGGTCCTTTTCCCATCTGTATGATCTCTTTGGGATACAGCCCTAGAAGTGCTATTGCTGGGTCAAACAAAGGGTATGCACATTTTTATAGCCCTTTGGGCATAGTCCAAATTGCTCTCCAAAATGGTTGGTTCCAACAATGCATAAGTGTTCCAATTTTCCCACATCTTCTCCAACATTTATCATTTTCCTGTTTTGTCATGTTGGCCAATCTAAGGATAGCTCCATTTGTTAGAAAATTTCTTGTATGTGTGGAACCTAAATCTGGCTTACAAACAACTGGCTCTCTGGGGGAAAAAAAAACACTGTACATACGGCACATTTTAAGTTTAATCTGCATTCTTAACATTTTCTCTATCACTTTCTTAAGTCCAGACAATCAGCAAAATAATTCAAGCCTTAATGTATAGCACTTGCCAATTTCCAAGGTGTAAATGCTCACACTGAAAATTTAACAATTGGCTTGAGCATTGGTATAAGCTGGCTCCAGCATGCCACAGCTGCCATGGTTGTTTCAACAAAAGAACTTTGTGCGTCTTAAAGTGCTGTGTAAATGTGAGCTGTTGTTATCATTTTTTTCATTGATCCTGATCCCACCTGAATTGGGTTTGAATTCTGGTTCTTCTACTTTCTACCTATGTGACCTTGGGCAAGTCACAATTTCTCTGGGGTTCACTTTCATCTGTAAAATGAGGTAGTTGAACTTAATGATCACAGAGGACCTTTCCAGTTCTAAATCTGTGAGCCCCTGGAACTATACATGCTTCCTTTTTCACATGATATTCCATCAGAGGTTTGAAAATAACACTCTCCTCATTCTCAGTTTTCTCAACTGCAATGATGGCTAAGGTCCCTTGAGGTTACAAAGTTTTAATTCAATTCAACAAACATTTAGTAAACACCTCTATTGTATTATGAAGCCCTTTGCTCAGTGCTGAGGATTCAAAGATAAAGTCAGGTGCAGGCTCTGTTCACTGGTATTTTACAACCTAAGAGGTGGGATGAGTTATGTGTACAAATAACTAATACAAGGCAGTGTGGGAGAAATTTGAAGAGGAATATATAATTTTCCACTAGGAGCATCAGAAAAGGCTCTATGGTGGAGGGAGTACCTGAGTTGGACCTTAACAGAAGTATTTCTTTATTCCTTTTTTTTTCTTTCTTTGTTTGGTGAGGCAATAGGGGTGAAGTGACTTGCCCAGGGTCGCTCAGCTAGTAAGTGTGTCAAATTTGAACTCAGGTCCTCTTGACTCCAAGGCCAGAGCTTTATCCACTTCGTCACCTAGCTGCCCTGGTATTTCTTTATTCCTAAGGCCCTGACTTGGGACCAGATGAATGAGGCTGAGTTTTTTATGTGACACACACCAGTTATTCCTCTGATTCTTTTTTTTTTTTCTTTCCTCAGGAGAAGTTCTCTCATAGGTACCCAGAGGCAAGACATTGTTGTCTTGGGAAACACAAGTGTCCAGTGCCCAGAAGTGTCAGCGTCCAGAGCACGAGTCAGAATTAAATTGCTCTTGTGACTCAGAGTGTGGTGATGGCTACAACTCCGGGCACGCAGGTCCAGGCCTCACTGGACCCAGAGGGGCTCCTGATAGTAAAGGTGGAGGAGGATTCCTCCTGGGAGCAGGAAGCTCCTCACCCCAAGGAGGACACCGACTCGGAGATCTTCCGTCAGCGCTTCAGACAGTTCCATTACGGAGAGGCAGATGGGCCTCATGAGGCTTTCAGTCAGCTGTGGGAACTCTGTTGTCGGTGGCTGAGGCCAGAAAGCCGAACAAAAGAGCAGATTCTGGAGCTGCTGGTCCTGGAGCAGTTCCTGACCGTCCTGCCTGGGGGCATCCAGGGTTGGGTGAGGAATCGATGTCCAGCAAGTGGAGAGGAAGCTGTAGCCATGGTGGAGAACCTGCAGAAACAACCCAGAAACCCACTGCAGCAGGTGAGCTGGTGGGTGCTACCTGAGTGAAGAGAAAGTAGAGGAACTGAGGGGCTTGGAGGAGGAGACTTTTCTTAGCCCTTGGCTACCTTGGCTTATAACTGGGCAGTCCTACCTTGGACTCTAGTCTTTGGTGTTCTTAAGCATCTCTCTTCAGAAGAGTATATGATAGGGCTGCAAAACAAAAACAATACTAATAACTCATATTTCTATAGCATTTTACAATTTACAAAGTGCTTTCTTTTTAAACCCCTTGAGAGCTAAGTAGTATAAATATTCTTATCCGCATTTTATAGAATAGGATACTGAGGCCCAGAGAGAGACAGCTATATGAACTTAGAGTTCATCCAGCTAAAAAATGGTAGTACTGTAACTTGAACCCATGTCCAGTGTTCTTTCCATTACAGCATGTTGTTTCTCAGTAAGGATCATTGACAAAAAGGTCTTAATGCCTCTTGACAATAAGAGAAGATGTTGATGTTTTCAAATATCTGAAGAGCTCTCTTGTGGAGAAAGGATTAGCGTTCTTCTGCTTGGCCCCATTAGGCAGAACTTGAACCAAGAGCAGAGGCTAAAAGAGGTAGAATTGACCTCAGTAAAAGGAAGAGCTTTGCGATCATTAGAGCTGTCCAGGAATGAAATACAATACCTTGGGCAAGAGGCAATTCTGTTACTGTTAGACTTCAAGCAGAGGTTAGTTTGAGTTGGGGAAACTGCAGAGAAGCTTTTTGCAGAGGCCAAATGGTTAGGCTAGTCTTAGCCTTTAAGGTTCCTTTTGACTCTAAGATGCTGGGGCTAGTTCCAGTTCTAGTCTTAGTTGGTGCTTTTTGCTTCTCATTGGTTTCTAACCGTGGGGTTCACTGGGAGTATAGCACATCATTTCACATTGTTTTGTGCTGCCAGGAAGCAGATAATTCATTTCTTCACTCACCTTTCTTGCATCCCTGATGGGTCTACCCTGTTTTTTATTTTGGGGATTTTAACTTAGACTCCCTGACCCTGGACCTTGCACTGATGGGCATATATGTTGTGCATGGACAGGAAGAGCCCTCAGAGGAGACGGAGACTCAGGGAGGAGTTCGGGGGTCCTCGGGCCTCCTGCTGGCACAGGGGGAGAACCAGGCCAAGGGGGTATCTCAAGAGGAAGGGGCATGGAGCCGAAACCCAGGAACAGAATCCCAGGAACAGAGGAGCTGTGGCTGTAAGTCAGTCTACATCCCTGTAGGAAAGGGGCTATAGAGATGAATTGGGAAAACCTGGGCAGGGGAGAAGAGCTTTAGGACAGATTGCATGAGGGAGAGACTTTTTTCTTGGCCTCTGGATGAAGGTAATGTGGTCAATAGGACCTTTGGGGTCAATAAAGGACTGAATGTAGTTACTTTAATGCTTCTAAGTATAGGGTCAGTATTCTATTAATTCTCCAGGTCATGTTACAGATGGTGTGGTGTATGTGAGGACCATTTATGGGCCCCACTGAGCTCCAGGTGCTGTAGAGGGAGGGTGTGAGCCCTGGAGAGGGCCGTATTTCTAGAGTTGATTTAGTTTCCTTAATGTTCCATTCTTTGTCCACAGCTCAACCTGCTTCCCGGCTTCCTGCCCTTCTAAAGGAGGGGAGCACCAGAGAGATGGTAGATGCTTTCTTTTCCTCTGGGATCCATGTGAGTTCTGGATACCTCAGGACTTTGACAGGCTGATATGACTTGACATGATATGACATTACTCTTACATTCTAAGACTAGCCCTTGACTTTGAAATGCCTATTGAGTACAGAACACTTTGCTAGGTATCCAGTGAGACAAAGTTTAAGACATTGCACCTACCATCATGAAGATTACAATCTAGTAATAATAGGATATGATAAGAACTAAGAGCCTTAAAAAACCCTCTGTTTAGATCTGTAATACAAAGAGGCCTCAAAACCAAACCATCTCCTGGGTGTGTAGAGGAAATGGCTGGAGAAGGTATTGCAGTATTCTGGCTGCAATCCACCTCTTTCAGTAGACTTGGGTCAAACATAGGTATATCATGATTGCTGTGAGGACCAGTCATGACGTGAGAAATTCACATCGGTCTTCCTCTTTAGCTCCAGCTCTTGAGTTTAGTTTTAAAGATTAGATCAGATGGCTAAAGAGAGGAGACAACATAGCAAAATCTATGAGATGCATCCAAAGCAGTATTTAAGGGAAATTATATATCTCTAAATGCTTATATCAGTAAAATAGAGAAAGAGCAGATCAATGAATTAGGCATGCCACCAAAAACACTAGAAAAAGGACAGATTTACAAATTAAAAATCCCACCTGGCCATAGTATATGACCTTCATGATATGTTGCTGTAGCCTCCTTGCTAGTATTTTATTTAAATTTTTAGCATCAATAGGGAAATTGGTCTATAGTTTTCTTTCTCTGTTTTCACTCCTCTTAGTTTAGGTATTAGCACCATATTTGTGGCATAAAAAGAATTTGGTAGGACTCCTTCTTTGCCTGTTTTTCTAAATAGATTATATAGTATTGAGATTAATTGTCCTTTAAATGTTTGGTAGAATTCACTTGTGAATCCATCTGGCCCTGGGGATTTTTTCTTAGGGAGTTCATTGATGGCTTGTTCAATTTCTTTTTCTAAGATGGGGTTATTTAATTATTCTATTTCTTCTTCTGTTAATTTGGGCAATTTACATTTTTTTAACTATTCATCCATTTCACTTAGATTGTCAGATTTATTGACATATGATTGGGCAAAATAGCTCCTAATAATTGTTTTAATTTCTTCTTCATTGGTGGCAAATTCACCACTTTCATTTTTGATGCTAGTAATTTGGTTTTCTTCTTTCTTTTTTTTAATCAAATTAACCAATGGTTTATCTATTTTATTGGGGTTTTTTTCCACATAAAACCAGCTTCTAGTTTTATTTATTAGTTCAATGGTTTTCTTGCTTTCAGTTTTATTAATCTGTCCTTTGATTTTCAGGATTTCCAATTTTACTAGAAATGCTAGCTATAGTGTTAAGAGAAAAAGAGAATTTGAAGGACTTAGAATAGGCAATGAGAAAACAAAACTAACACTCTTTGCAGATGATATGATGGTATACTTAGAGAATCCACTAAAAAACTAGTTGAAATAATTATCAACTTCAGCAAAGTTGCAGGATATAAAATAAATAATCAGTATTTCTATATATTACCAACAAAGTCCAGCAGCAAGAGATAGAAAGAGAAATTTCATTTAAAACTACTGTAGAAAATATAAAATACTTGGAAGTCTACCTGCCAAGACAACCCAGGAACTCTATGAATCCAGTTGTAAAACTTTTCTCATACAAATAAAGTCAGATCTAAACAATTGAGAAGATATTAATTGCTCATAGGGAGGCTAGGCCAATATAATAAAAATGACAATTCTACCTAAATTAATCTATGTAATCTACAAGTCAAACTACCAAAATATTATTTTATAGAGCTAGAAAAAGTAACAAAATTCATCTGAAAAAAACAAGAATCAATGGGAAAAAGTGTGGAGGAAGGTGGCTTAGTCATACCAGATCTCAAACTGTGTTACAAAGCAGTAATCATTAAAACAATCTGGTAATGGTAGATCAGTGGTATAGATTAGGTACACAATACATTATAGTCAATTACCGAGATAAAGTCAAAATGGATACATGGTTTAGACATAAAAGGTGATACCATAAGCAAATTAGGAGAGCATGTAATAGTTTACCTGTCAGCTCTATGGATAAGGGAAGAATTTAGGACCAAAGAAGATATAGAGAACATTACGAAATGTACAATAGATCATTTTTAAAATTAATTTATTTTTAGTTTTCAACAATCACTTCCATAAGCTTTTGAGTTTTAAATTTTTCTTCCCCTCCTTCCCCAAGACGGTGTGCAATCTAATATAGGCTCTACATATACATCCCTATTAAACATATTTTCACATTAGTCATGTTGTAGGGAAGAATTAGAATCAACAGAAGCTTCCAACAAATAGTTTGGTTTGACTGGAGCATAGAATACTTGGGGGAGAATAACATGAGTTGTAAAGTGTAAATATAGGGTGGTAGCAGATTTTGAAGATCCCTAAATGCCTGATTAAAGCATTTTATTTGATAATTTTTGAGTGGCAGTTAAGAGTCATTGAAGGGTTTTTGAGCAGATCTTTGCCTAAAGGAAATAACTCTGGCATTGTTGTGAAGGACCAGTTAGAAGAGATAGAGAGCCTAAAGATAGGAAGACCTGTTAGGAAGTTACTTTATTATTCCTAGAGTCATGGAAATGGGAATAGGAAGGAGGCGGATGTGAGACATATTTCAGAGATAGAATCAGTAAGTCTTTATCAGTAATTGGATATAAAAGCTAAGGAAATGGGGGACTTAAAAACTAAGATTTCAAATGTAGATGACTAGGTGAATCATGTTATTATTGACCGAAGTAGTGAAATCAGAAGGAAGAATGTGTTTTATGAGGAAAACAGTAAGTTGGATTTTGAACATGTTTGAAATCAGGTGGATGGAGATGGGCTGGACGTAGGGAGAGAGAACAGGAATAGAGATACAAATTTGAGAGTCATCAATGTAGAGGTGATGACTTTATAACGAGGGCTCTTCACTGAGGTCCATAAACTTGGGTGTTTTTTTTTTTTTTGGTGAGGCAATTGGGTTTAAGTGACTTGTCCAGAGTCACACAGCTTATGTGTCTAAGGCCGGATTTGAACTCAGGTCCTCCTGACTCCGGGGCCTGTGCTCTATCCACTGCACCCCCTAGCTGCCCCACCTTGGGTTTCTTTTTTAAAAAAATTTTGATAACTATATTTTAATATAATAATTTCCTCTGTTTCTTAGTTTATGCATTTGAAACATTCTAAGGAGGGGTCCATAGGCTTCCCCAGACTGCCAAAGGAGCCTGAGACACACGAAAGGTTAAAGGATGAATAGGAATTCAGCAGGCAAAGAAGTTGAGGAAGGGCAAGTTAGGGAAAGGAACAGAGTAAGAAAGAGTTTGTCCTTTTAGGTTGGGACACCACTTCATTGGATCCTTCAGATTTATGCCCCTCCCTGCACAGCACAGTGTGGTGGCAACACTACTGGACGGGGAGTCAGGAGAGACCCTCTGGTACATGTGAGCTGAGTGCTCATGGACAAGATACTTCTTTTCTGAGCTTCGTTTTCTTCGTCTCTGAAATGTGGATAGTAGTCCTCACAGCTTGTCATGAGAATCTAATTAGATATGTTTGTAAAAGTCTTTGCATGGCCCAGAGCACTGTCCAAAATTCAGTGGTTGTTGTCCTTTTGACCTTGTCACATCCCAGCCCTGTAAGTCCAGACCTGAGGGGTGAGATCAGCTCACACTGAGCCAGACTGTCCCGCTGTTTCAGGGACCAGTGTCATTTGGAGATGTGCCCTTTTATCTCTCTCGGGAAGAATGGGGGTGTCTGGATCCTGCTCAGAGGGACCTCTTCTGGGACATGAAACGGGAGAACTTCCGCAATGTCTCTCTGGGTAAGAGCTAAGTTTTCACACATGGTGGAGCCTCTTGCGTGTTCAGTTCTCCGAGCTCTACAGTCTGTTACCCCTGCGTCACTCCCAGTTTGTCCTGTGGTGAAGGAAGTATGACCAGGGCTGACCTTTTAGACAAGTAACTACCCACCCACTTCCCCAGAAGCTGCAGGGTCTTCATCTGCTTCCTCTTGCCCACGTGGTTTTCCAGGTCCCATTAGAAGGGTGGGGGGGGATGATGAGAAGAGGGTGAGCGCTCCCTTGTTCCTTGTTGTGAAGGAGGCTTCACACTGGTCATAAGAGTGGACAGGAGCAGGATGGTTTTTTTCTTCAGTGCCTTGCCCCAGCATGGTTTGACAGGCTTAGTTCCTCGCTTCTTCTTAAAGTTAGTTAGTTTAATTTGTCCTGCCTTGTATCAGATGAGATGCCTGATGACCTGTCTCTCCACTCAGGTTTGGGGATCAAGCACCAGGCTAGTATGAAAGAAGTAGAGCCACTGCCTGGCAGATCTGGAGGTGACGTGCCCTGGAGCACTGAGGAGGGTGAAGTCTGGGAAAGTGAGAATCGACCTGACCCAGAGCTGGGGCAAGAGCGCCCCATGGGGGTGAAACGAGGACGCCCTCCCACACGCCGGAGACAGTTCCGAGACTTGGCAGCTGAGAAGCCCCACAGCTGCCAGCAATGTGGAAAACGCTTCCGTTGGGGCTCAGACCTGTCACGGCACCAGCGCACCCACACGGGTGAGAAGCCCCACAAGTGCCAGGAATGTGAGAAGAGTTTCCGCAGCTCCTCAGACCTGGTTCGCCACCAGGGCGTCCACACAGGTGAGAAACCTTTCACCTGTACTGAGTGTGGCAAAAGCTTCAGCCGAAGTGCATACCTCACTGACCACCAGCGTATCCATACCGGTGAGAAGCCTTATGAGTGCACTGAATGTGGCAAGAGCTTCTCTCTCCGCTCCTACCTGCTAGACCACCGCCGAGTACACACTGGTGAGCGTCCCTTTGGCTGCAGCGAATGTGACAAGAGCTTCAAGCAGCGGGCGCACCTCATTGCCCACCAGAGCCTTCATGCAAAGATGGCCCAGTCGGTGGGATGACCGTGGCTCTCTCCATGGAGGGGGAGCCTCCAGGTGGAGAGGAGATCCAGAAGGAAAGCAACAAAAGACTGCTCTGACCACCCAGCGTTGATGACAGGGCCCGCCTGAGCACACTCCAAAATGTCTGGAAATTCCCCTTTCCAATTAAAGGTCATTCTTGCCCCCTTAAGATACCATGAGGATCTCTTCAGCCTTTGTTTCCCTAAAGTTATGTTGCAGCCCTTCCTCCCACCTACAGCCCTTCCTATTGACTTCGGTCAAACAAAGAAAACTTGACTGTGACAAGAAACTAGAGGCACTTCTATTTCCTTGGTCCCCTTGAACTTCATCTTCAGAAACTTGCAGAACATATGCATCCATCCATATTCCTCAAAACCAAGAAAATAATTTTGCGACCTTTTAAAATTTATTTTTCCCTTCTCTTTTCTTTGTTCTGTGTTCCTTTCCATCTTCCTCTCTCATTTTCACTTAATATATCTGGAGTCTGGAAATATATACTAATTTGAAGACATAAGGGCATGCAGTGAGATGCAGGGGAGTTGAGACAAATCCCTTACCTGCCCATACTTTGCACATTTTCTCCCCTGACCGCCATCCAATCTCGAGACCAGTGGACCCCTAAAGGCTTCTGGCCACAGTAATGCTTTTATCTTCTTCCAACCTGATAGCTCCCCAGACAAAGGAACCAGCCACCTTCTGGCAGGGTGCAGCTGCCCCTCTCTTGGGTGATGACGACACTGTTGAAGCCACCATCACTCACATTAGTACTAATCCTCCTGTCCTTCTCTAACTTCTAGGAATGGGAAAAGGGGAAGGGAGTGGTATGTGAAATAGTCTATGGAAAGTATTTGAGTGCGAGGTGATGGAGTGAGTGATCTTTCTCAGCCTCCTTCCCTTTTGCTACCTGATTCTGCCCCAGTCTCACTTGCTTCTTTTAGAGCATTTTTTCCTCATACAGCAGCATATTGAATGTCTCTGCATCTCTAGAGTCTTGAGAATTGAAGTAGACTCTGGTGGAGCCTCATCTGGGGTTTAGGAAGGACTCCATTGGGCATTTCAGGCCTCTGAATCTTTGAAGGAGGTTGAGGAAGGCAGTTCTTCATCATTCTCTTTTCTGGAGGCTTCTGAGAATGTCTCTTCCATGATCTCCATGTCTCCTTCCCCAGCCTGAGCCCCCCATGACCACTGTCTTCAACTTATTTCCCTTACGCAAATCCTGGCCCAGCCTAGAAGACAGCTGTAACCTCTAATCTTCTCTTCTCTGAACCAAAGAATCCCTTTCACATTTCTAGAGAACGTCTGCCTCCCAGACCTTTCTGTCCTTATTTCTATGGCTGTCCTTTGTATCCTGCGTAAGCTCTCCACATCCTTCCCAAGTGATTAAGAGCCCAGCAGGACTCTAGTAGAGTGACCCTTGATCTATAGAGGGGCAGGAAAGTACACTCCAATTGGTACTCCCAAGTACTCCCAGGATCTTACCAACCTTCAACCCTCTCTTGGAGTGAGTTGAAATTATATTCATTTTTCAAGATATTCCTGTTGCCTACTAGCTATATGATCTGAAATAATTCCTGTCCCCTCTCTGACAGTTTTTCCCTCTGTAAAATGAGAGGGTTAGATCAGATTTTTTTTTTTTGTAAGAGTCCTTCCAGGTCTGACATTCAATGATAAGCTATCCTGTGACTAGAGAAGTGAGGCACAAGGTGGGGCAGGGAGCTGGAGGGGTGGGGGTGGGGGTTGAGGATTGTGGCCCATGAGAATTTTGGACATTGCCAATGCCCCTCTGTACTGGAAGAGGGAGTATACTTCTTGGATACAAGGAAAGGGAAACAAATGGAATGACTTGGATAGGTCCCAAGAGCCCTATCTTTGTTAATGGCAGAAGTTGAAGGCTGACCTCTGGGGAGCCTACTGTAGTCCCAACCCTTGTAAAAACCAAGGCAGTTGTAGTGTAATGCCTGACTGGGAGTCCTTGACTTAGGTGAGCTCTGCCACTGATCCTCTGTGGTCTGAGGCAAGGAATGTCTCTCTAGACTTCAACAGGGGTTTAATGCCAACTTGGAAAGAAATTTCTAGGACAGTGCCCCAGGGATCTGCTCTTGGCTCTGGGCTATTTAACACTTTTATCAATGACTTAGATAAAGACATAGGTGACATGCTTGTCAAATTTTCAGGTGACAGCTGAGGCAGGGGATAGCTACCACTTTGGGTGACAGGATTTTAAAAGCTATTGAAAGTCTAGAACATTAGGCCAAATCTGATTGCATGCATTTGATGATTATCTATGTAAAATCTTACCATTGATTTTTAAATAGCAGTTTCACCAAGGACAAGGCGGAGCAAGCGTTTAGATAGCTCTTTGTCTGAAACCTGGATGTGTTAGCCTATATTGCAGGTCCAATATGAGCATTGTGGCTAGAACTAAGAGGGTAAGTGTCCCACTGCTTTTGTCACACCACATGTGGAGTGTCGGTTCAGTTTTGGGCACGACATTTTATAGGGGGCCATTGATAAGAGAGCGACTAGGATGTTAAAGGACCATGAGGTTGGTTGGAAAAAAAAAAACAACAACAACCAGGATGGTTATCTTGAAAATAAAAGACTTAGCAAGGAAATGATAACTGTCTACAAATATTTGAAGGGTTGTCATATAGAAAAGGGGTCTAGCTTGTACTACTTTATCCCAGAAGGGAGACTAGGAAAACTTCCTAACACAGTCAGTGCTATCAGAAGTGTAAAGGGCTGATTCTAGAGGTGGTGCATTCCCGCACACCTGAGGGCTTCAAGTAAAGTCTGCTGGATAACCCCGTGTATGGTATGTTCTGTAGAGGACGCTTGTTTAGGCATCACGTGACCTGGATGGCCTCTGAGGCCCCTCCTGGAGGGTCTGTGATGTCCCAGCTGGACAAGACCATAGAACGTAGCATGTTAGGTGTAGATGGAGCCTTACAGAAGTCTATATGGTGTACTATGGGTCCTGCTCAACTTGGAGTCAGGACCTAAGATCTGGATTTGAATCTCACGACCAGCAAGTTCTAGCTTCATAATCACTGCCAACTCATTTAACCGCTGAGGTTTTCTACGCTGTAGTAGCTATGTAATACCTACCTTCCGGGGGTGGTTTGTGAGGATCAGATGTGCATAAAGTAAAGAATGGTGTGGAAACCTTAAGCACTGTAAGGATTCATCAGGTACTATCAGTTAATCCTTAGCCCCATCACTGAATTAAGTCCAGAGAGGAGAAAGCTTGGCCAAGGTCAAGATTAGTAGCAGAGGGGGCAGCTAGGTGGCTCAGTGGGTAGAGCACTGGCCTTAGAATCAGGAGGACCTGAGTTCGAATCCAGCCTCAGACACTTTGACACTATCTGTGCAACCCTGAACAAGTCACTTAACCCCATTGCCTAGCCAAAAGAAAAGAAACAAGAGTGGTAGCGGAGCTGGGTCTAGTACTTGGAGCCCAGGGATTCCATAATGAGTATGTTATAGGCAGAACAAGGAATGAATGAGGAAGCATTTATTAAGTATTTACTATGCATTAAGTGCTGGAAAGACAGTTAAGTTCTTGCTCTCAAGTTTACATTCTAATGGTGGGTAAGTATAGGAAGTTTCAACTGCCAGTCAGATGGAAAGGCCCATCTTACATTACCTACAGCACAACACAATAGTATAATGCCTTCTTCTCTTGCTGGGAGTGTGAATATACCTGGAAGTTCAAAAGAAATATAACTTGAAAGTGTAACCAGAGCAGGGAAGGGGAAGGCAGGGGCCAAGGATAACTCAGGGAAAGTCATTGAAGGTCCAGGAGAAGAGCCAGGTGCTGGCAGACAGCCTGTCTCATTCCTGTAAAGGGAGCGGTGTCTGGGGATGAGGACCAGGGCAGTGAGTTGGATTACTGGGGAATCAGGAAATTAGCTCCCCATTCAGATCACAAAGATGAGGTCAGAGTCCAGCTCTTATGTAGTCATAAATTGAGTTCCAAGGTGCAAGACCCAGTGATGAGGGAACCTGGAAGTAGGAGCCCAGTGGAGAGAGCCAGAGAAGAGTCCAGGAGGCAGAGAGACAGTGATTCTGCTCATGGCCTTCTTGGTGGCAAGCTCCTTGCAGGTAGCAGTGGAAAAGGCAGAGGCTAGGGACTGCCTGAAGAGGAAGGTAGGTGAGGGAAACCTAATGACTTCCTCCTGATGTTAGGCTCTTTCCCCCGACTCTGTAGCTGAGCCTTGACCCCATCTCCTTCCTGGACTCCTGACTATCTAGGAAGAGAGACTCCCCTCCTCCTATCTCCGTCCCCATCTCTGCACTTGTCTTCCCAGGGAGAATATGACATGACTGGGGCCCGAGTTGCCCTGACCCTTTGTGCCTTGGGAGGGCAAATTGGAGAGGATAGGGCAGTTGCTGCTCTGGAGGCTATGTACCAAGCACTGGGTTTTAAGAACTACCTTAGAAGAGTGGCCAAGGCGCAGGTGAGTGATTTTCCCAATGGCTTCTGCATCCCTCTGAGATCCCAACTCCTCTCCCAAAGTTCAAGCAATCAGGCCTCTTGCTCTTCCAGTCTTTCCAGAAAGAACTGGCTCATTTCAGAGAGCTTTTGGATGCCTACAGGAACCCCATCAGCTGCGCTTTGGTCGTCCTCTTAGCTCACAGTGAATGTCGAGGGTGGCTGCTGGGGCCAGATGGGAGGGAGGTGCAAGAGAAGGAGCTGGTTGGAGAACTGAGCCACTGCCAAGCCTTGTGGGGCAAAGCCAAGGTGTTTCTGTTGCTGGGCAGCCACGACAGTGAGTGAGAACCAACATGGGCCCCTGGGTTTGGGAAGAAGGGTAGGAACAGGGGCACTGGGACCATCTTCACTGTCTTCCCAGATCCACCTGTGTCCCAGCTTCTCTCTGAATTGACCCCACTTTTCCCTTCTTGTCTCCGGCAGACTTGGAATCCAATGCTTTTCTTCCCATTCTGACAGACCACTGCAGGCACTTTCCCCACTGGCACCTACTGGAGGTGCTCACCCAGGTCTGGACTGGCTTAGCAATGGGAGGCTCCTCTGTGCTACCCCTTAGTCTTAATGGGTGGGTGGGTGGGGGTCCTACCATGACCTCTGGGGCCCACAGCTCAGTTCACCTTATCTGTCACATTTTTCAGATATATATTTGCTCAACAAATTTTATACATATATGTATATATTTAATATATATACACATACATACATACACACATGCATACACATGTAGTTGGTGTGTGAAAGAAAGTATAGTTTAGTGGAAAGGCTTGGAGTCAGTCAAGAGAGGAAGACCTGAGTTCAAATCTGGCCTCAGATACTTATCAGCTGTGTGACCCAGGGCAAGTCACTTAACCCTGTTTGCCTCAGTTTCCTCTGTAAAATGAGCTGGAGAAGGAAATGGCAAACCACCCCGCAATGGGGTCATGAAGAGTTGGGCACGACTGAACAACAACAACGTTTGTTTTCTTTCTTCCCGTTACTCCCCATGTACTCTACGTTTCAGTCAAACTGGAAGATCTACTTTTCTTTTTTTTTATTAATTTATTTTGATTTATCAATAATTACTTCCATATGCTTTTGAGTTTAAAATTTTTCTCCCCCTTCCTCCCCACCACCCTCCCCAAGATGGTGAATAATCTGATATAGGCTATACATTTACATTCATATTAAACATATTTTCACATTAGTGATGTTGTAAGTAGAAATTAAAACCAATAGGAGGAACCATCAGAAAGAGGAAACAAAACTCAACAGAAGATAAAACAAAAATAGCAATTCAACTTCCATAGTACTTTCTTTGGGTGTGGATAACATTTTCCATCACAAGGCCTCTGAAGATGTCTCAGATCCTTGTATTGCCAGGAAGGGTTAAGTTTATCACTATTAGTCATCATGCAACGTGGCTGTTATTGTGTACAACGTTCTCTTGGTTCTGCTCACTTCACTCAGCATCAGACCACACGAGTCTTTCCAGGTTTTTCTGAAGTCAGCCTGTTCATCATTTCTTATAGCACAATAGTATTCCATTACATTCGTATACCACAATTTGCTCAGCCATTCCCCACTTGATGGGCATCCTCTCAATTTCCAGTTCTTTGCCACCACAAAAAGAGCTGCTATGAATATTTTTGTACATGTAGGTCCTTTTCCCATTTGTGTGATCTCTTTGGGATATAGCCCTAGAAGTGCTATTGCTGGGTCAAAGGGAAGATCTACTTTTCTAAACCCTAATTCCACACCTGTACCCAGTTGTTCCTTCCCTCTGCAATGCTTTCCTTTTTTTTTTTCTTTCGTGTCCAAACCTAACTCTCTTCAAGAGCCATATCCATGACACCTTCACAGATCGTCCTAGGCAGAGATCTCCACCTGCCCCACCCTGACCCCAATCTTATGGGACTGGGTGACTCTCACACACCATCTATATGTGCACGTGTATGCATGTATGCGAAAGAAACTATAGTTTAGCGGAAAGACTCTTGGAGTCAGTCAAGAGACCTGGGTTTGAATTTTGATTCCCAGCTGTGTGGCTTGACTTTCCTGAGCCTCAGTTTCCTCATCTGCAAATTGGTATAAAAGCAGAGTTGTGGGGAAAACATTTTGTACATCTTTGGGATAAATTTGAGCCAATCTCTTAAGTCCCAACTTTGAATTCTTTGATGCTATTATCTAGCACTATTTATTCAGCATCTATTAGGAAGGAGCTTAAAGGTCAGCTGGTCCATCTAGAGAAGACAAGGGAGTCTAGACTGGGGAAGGGACTTGCTCAAGGTCACACAAGCCAGGATCAGGACTATGCATAGGAGCTGATGCTGAGAGATATACAGGAAGATAAAGGCAATGGGAGTAGTTTAGGCAGCATGGTGAAATGGGGAAAGTGTTGGATTTGAAGTCCAAGTACGTTAATTCAAATCCTGACTCTGTCACTGTCTTGGGGAAGTGATTTAATCTCTCTGGGCCTTGTTTCTTCCTTTGTAAAAATAAGAGAGTTGAACTAGGTGGTCTCAAAGGTCCCTTCTAGCTCTATGATTCTGTGAAATAACTGGCTTAATGAGATATTGGCCATAAATGGCATATAAATAATGAGATAAATAATGCCTTATGGTTTACTAAGTACCTTACAATACCTTTGAGGTATGCGGCACATGAGTTATCCTCATTTTACAGATGAAGAAACTGAGGTTCAGAGACTCAATGTCTGCGTTACACAACTAGGAAGTGAAAGCCACCTAATCCCATAAGATTGGGGTCAGGGTGGGGCAGGTGGAGATCTCTGACTAGGAGGATCTGTGAAGGTGGTTGGTCAATTTGGTCATGACCCCATTGGGGGATGGTTTGCCATTTCCTTCTTCAGCTCATTTTACAGAGGAGGAAACTGAGGCAAACAGGGTTAAATGACTTGCCCTGGGTCACACAGCTGATAAGTAGTGGCTGATTGGAATTCAGGTCTTCCTGATTTCTAGCTCTCTATCCACTGCACTATCTACTTGCCCTAAGCAAGCATTAAGCACCTACAGAGTGCCAGGTGCTTTACAAATATCTCATTTGATCCTCACAACCGCTCTGGGGGGGGGGGGGTAAGTGCTATTATTAAGCTCATTACAGTTGAGGAAACTGAGGTTAAGACACTTGCCTGGGGCATAAGTGTCTGAAGTTGGATTTGAACTCGTGTCTTCCTGACTCCAGGCCTAGCACCCCATCCACAATGCCACTTAGCTCCCTCTTGGGAGATAAGGCTGGAAAGGTAGAGAAGCATCAGATCATAAAAGGCCTTATTAGTGATGAGGTTTGTACTAGAACTCAGATCTTGAGATTCTGTCTAATAGTATGTTTGCTGAACCTCCTTCCCAGATTTCCCCCCACCTTCCTCACTTTTATAGTAACTTGTAGTTATAATTAAAAGCAAGATTGATGAAAGAACCCCGCTCTCCTTCCCAAGATCCTTGAACCCAAAGTGTGCCACCCCCTAGGCCTAGGCGCTACCATTGCCTTCATCTTCAGGTCATTCATTAGGTTTTGAGTGGGTCTGGGAGTCACCCTCCGAAACCTGTACAGCTCCCCCCATCCCATCATGAGCAAGTTTCATAGCATGTCAGAGATAATCCGTCCAGCCCCTATCTTAAGCATCCCTTTATAATATCCTCAACAAATAGTTGTCTTCTGCCTAAAGACTTTCATTGTCTTCAAGCTCACTACTTACCAAGGTAGCCTATTCCATTGCTGGCAGCTTTGATTGCTACAAAGTCCTTACAGAGGTCAAATATACCTTCCAGTAATTCCCACCCAAAGGCCCTACTTCTGCCCTCTCAAGCCAGGCAGAACTAGTCTACTCTTCTTGTTTCCCCTAAGACTTCTCTTCTCCAGGCTAAATCCCTAGCTCCTTCAGGTTCCTATTTGGCTCATTGCCCTTCCTCCTCCTATCAGGTCATTGGCAAAGTAACTCAAGAGATGCCTACTACCACAGAGCACAGGTGCCCCATCTTCCACAGCTCCCTTCGGGGTGCACTGTACTTTGGGAGAACAAGGTCACAGGACCTGGAGGTAAGAGGGGACCAGATATGTTGTCAATAGGGACAGGGTCTGGGGGAAAAAGGGAAGAGAAGAGAGACTTGAGGGGAAGAAAGAGAATGTGCAGATGGGACTGTGTGTGGAGAGAAGCCCAGGACAGAATGAGCAGGGGCCTAGAGTTGGTGAGAGAGAAGGGGAGAAAAGGAGTTAGAAGAGCAGGGTAACAAGGGGTTCGGGTTGAGCCTGAGCTTAGACTGCTCCTTCTGCTTCAGCCACTCCCCTCCCCCAAATCAAGTTTCTCTCTTCTCTCCCCTTTTTTCTCCCCCAGGTCAGCCCCATCCCTCAAGGGGTATATGACATGTCGGGGGAAAAGGTGGCCCTCGTCTTATGTGTCACCCAGGACCGCCCTGGGGCTGAACAGGACCTTAAAGCCCTGAAGAGGTTGTTCCAGACCCTGGGTTTTAAGAGCATTCTGAAGATGGACCCCACTGCCCAGGTGAGGTACTGGAAGGGGATGCAAAGGGGATGGGAGAATGAAGTGAGGAGAGTATAGAGGTAGGTAAGGAATGACCCAGTGCTTCATGAAGGCCCAGGTACATAGGAAATTCCCTGACTTCCCTTGTTGGCTGACTCCAATGTTTGAATCTTAGCCTTGTAGCTTACAATCTATGTGCTCTCAGCAAAATCGCTTTTCTTGGTCTAATTTTTCTTATTTGTAAAATAGAAGGACTGGACTTGATGATATCTAAAGTCCTTTCCAGATCTAAGTTAATGATCTTAAGATTCCATACTCTGCACCAAAGGTCTAAGGTCCTTCTCTACTCCTCCTGCTGCAATAGCAACTAATCCTTTCCCCTTAGTTGATGGCCAGATCTTCTGTCTTTTCATTCCTAAGCTTCTGTCTTGGTTCCTCTTTGCCTCATTGGCCATCCAAATTTCCTGGTGTCCAGTTTCTCCCAGAAAACATGATTCAGAAAACACCCATCCCTGTAAGAAAGCAGGAAGGCAATAACTCTGTCTCCGTTTCTCCTTATTTTTCTTTCAAAACTCCTAATGTTGGAATCCAGATTCTCTTCCACTGACCCAAGCTAATTAGAGAGTCTTTCTGCCCCCCACCCCCACTGGTTGTCTTCCATGCCTGGAATGCTTTCCCTCCTCATCTCTGCCTCTTGCCTTCCCTCAAGTATCAATTAAAATCCCCCATTCTGCAAGAAGCCTTTCCATATCCCACACCCCTTAATGCTAGGACCTTCCCTTTGCTCATTATCTCTAATCTATCTTGTACATAGTTATTTGCCTGTGAGATCTTTCAGGGCAGGGACTGCTCCCCTCCCCTGTTTTTTTTTTGTTTGTTTTTTTGTTTTTAATCTCCAGCGTGTAGCATAGTGCCTGGCACATAGTAGGTATTTAATATATGCTTATTGACTTGAGCTGGAACCCAAGGGCTAGGGTGGTAGGGTATTGAATGAGAAGTCACTGGGTCTATGGAAGGGTATTTCTTGATTTTCCCAATTTTCAATAAGCATGCAGCAGGATGGATAGTGGTTAGGTAAAAGAAGCAGAATTCAAAATTGGAAGAGACTGCTGAGACTGATTAGTTTACCAGGGGTGGGGAGCTTTTGGCCTTGAGGCCACATGTGGCCCTCTAGGCCCTCAGGTGTGACTGCAAACTTCACAGAACAGATCCCCCTAATAACAAGATACTAGTCTCTTTTTGCCTTCCCCCTCACTCCTTAGGTCTGTCCTATCACTGAGGAAATGGATCTGAAAAGATCAAACACCTTGAGATGGGAGGGACTGAATATGCTACTCTTCCTTGGAAGGGATGCATTTGAAATGAGGAGCCTGGAGGGAGGAGTGGGTGGTCCAAAATAAAGAAGTTCTAATGGGTCAAGCTTCATCTAGGGTCTGGTGGGTGAGGGTCAGCACTGATGTGTGGGGGGGGGGGTGGAGGGGGGTCCAAGGAAAATATGGATTCTCTTTATGAAAAAGATCCTCTGTTTTGGGGGTATGTTGGAATTCTCCTTGCCCTCAGGATTTCCGAAAGGAGTTGGCTCAGTTTCGGGAGCATCTGGATGCTTGTAGGACCACTGTGAGCTGTGCCCTGATAGCCCTCATGGCCCATGGGGAACCCCAGGGGCGGCTTCTGGGGGCTGATGGACAGATGGTGGAAGTGGAAGAGATGGTGAGAGAGCTGAGTACTTGTCAGGTCCTGCGGGGCAAGGCCAAAGTTTTTCTGCTTCAGGGGTGCCGTGGAAGTGAGTAGGGGATACAGCCCTCTTGTAGCTTTGGAACTCAGGTAGTAGTTCAACTTCCAACCCTCCATTCTCCCTTCCCAGCCTACCTTTTGGCTTCATGCCCTCTCTTTTCTCTGATGGTGACTCTCAGCCCCACTGGTCCCGCAAGGCTTTCCAGATCACTCCAGCCCAAGGTGAACTCTGTTCTGAACCCCTCTGCCATCATCTGGGGCACACACTGTTTGTATTGTTTTCTAACAGTTGCATGTGTTCGAGTTTTGACCCCCTCTTGGAACCATGTGCTCCTTAAAGGCATATGGTTCTATTTGTGTGCTATCCCCCGGTAGCTTCAAGTTGCCTCATGGTTTTTTCTATGAAGGGAGAGAAAAGAGCACTGGATTTAGAGCTGATGTGCGTGGGTTATTTCTTACTTGCTATACAAGGAAGGCTATGGGACAATTCCAGCCCTGATATTTATCACCTGAATGACGTGGGGCAGGCCACTCCATCCCTTTAAGCCTGAGCTTCCTCACTCACAAAATGATGATACTCGTTTCTACCCTCTCTCTATGGGCTGTCAGGTAACAGAGACCCCGGCATGAGCCCTAGAGCTTTGCCCTGGCTAGGACGCTGGCTACAACACTGGCTACAGAGGCCTTCAACTATCCCCTCTCACGCAGATGTCCTTCGGGTTTATGCTAACATGCAAGGTCAGTGATTCCTTTTCCTTTAAGGGGTTGCAACATTAGGCCTTGAAGGCATCTCCGAGATCATCTAGTCTTGGCCTTCTTCTTCCCAACTCCTAAGGGTGAGCTCTGTCCTCAGTCCTCATCTATCAGCACACTATTCAAATGTCTGTGTGTAAATCTCATCCCCTGATGAACCTGAGGCTAAGGCTGAGGCTAGACCCAGGGGTGGGGAATCTGTGACCTTGAGGCCAGAAGCTACATGTGGCTCTCTAGGCCCTCAGGTGCGGTCCTTTGACTGAATCCTAAAAGGATTTGTTCTGTGAAGTTTGGATTCAGTCAATGGACTGCACTTGAGGACCTAGAGAGCCACATGTGTCCTCGAGGTTGCAGATTCCCCACCCCTGGGCTGGACCAGCTCACTGAAGTCAGGGTCCCTTCTAACTCTAAATCCATGATCTACTTTTTATCTTCGCCTCCTCTTTTTTATCCCTTCCTCCCCAGAACAGAGTCCTACACACACTAGATACAGTGTTTGTTGAATTGAACATACCTTTCACCTTTATGAAAAGCTTTATATAATTTTTTTTCATTTTATCCTCACAGTAACTTCATATGACTTGCAAAGTCTTAGTATCTATATTTTATAGATGAGGAAACTGAGGATTAGAGAAGTGAAGGGATTTGCCCAAGGTGTCAGAGCCGTTAAGTTGTAGAGACTTGGCAGAGAGAGACAGAGGCTGTGAATCTAGGTTTGGAGACTCTCAAGTCCAAGGTTTTTATCTGTCGTCCTTTGCCACCTCTTCTAATATATCAGAATTCATAGAGTTGTGGAATTTTAGAATTGGAAAAGACCTCAGTGGCCATCTAATTCATTCCACATTACAATCTAACTGACAAATCTCCAAGAACTTCCCATTGCAATCTACTTGACAAATGATTATCCAATCTCCACTTTAAGACCCCAGGGAGGGGGAATCCACCAGCTGCTGAGGCAGGCCCTTCCACTTTTGAACAGCCCTAATTGTTAGGAAATTTTTGCTGTCATCAAACCTAAATTTGTCCTTTAAAAAAAAAAAACTCCTACCCATCACAGCCCTGGTTCTGTCCTCTGGGGGCAAAGAAAGCACTTTCACATGGCAGCCCTTCAAACACTTCGAGAAAGCCATCATGTTCCCCATGAGTTTTCTCTTTTCCATATTAAACCTTTGAAGTTCTTCCAACTAATCCCATGACATGTACACAAGGCTCTTCACCATCCTAGTTGCCATCCTTTGTTCACTTTTTACTTTACCAATGTCCCTAAATTATGTCACCTAGAACTGAGCATAATAACCCAGATGCTGTCTGACCAGGATAGAGTACAAAGATTAACCTATAGTTTGCTGGTTGTTCTTTTCCCTTTTTAGAAAATCAGAGCAATATTTACTTTTCACCACTCCTCCTTTTAAATATCGCAGAAATTGTACCTGCCAGTTCTTTTGCTTAATTTTCTCTAGGTTCCCCTGAATCCTCTATTTATGCCATCTGACAAGCAAAGAACCAATGTCTCCAATTAGAGTCGCCCTGAGGACTTTAAATACTAACAGATACCCAAGAAACCAACCTTGTAGTATTGTGGAATGGAGAGAACATGGGTAGAGTAGGGTACGGTAGTAGGGTAGATTTGGAGTCAATAGACCTGGGTTTAAATTCGAGCTTTGCTACTTATTACTTCTGTGACCTTGGGCAAATCACTTCCTCTCTCTCTCTTTTTTTTTTTTTAAGGCAATTGGAGTTAAGTGACTTGCCCAGGGTCACACAGCTAGTTAAGTGTCTAGTGTTTGGTCTCAGGTAGGAGTTGAACTCAGGGCCGGTGCTCTATCCACTGCGCCACTTAGCTGCCCCTTCACTTCCTCTCTCTGGGCTTCACTTTCCTCATCTGTAAAATAAGGAGACTGGACTAGATAATGTTTAAGGTCCCTTCTAGTTGTAAATGGTATGATTTTAGAAATCCAAGAGGAACTGGATGGAATCCTCACCTCCATACCCTTTTTTCGGGACATGTTTCTCTGAGGAGATAGACTCTGAAATGAGAAAGGACCATGCAGTGTCTAGGTTGCAGTGGAAGGGGAAAGTTTGCCTTTGATTTAGGAAATTGGGCAGGGAATGGGATGGAGACAGGAGAAAAGGCTGATAGGAAGGGCTGAAGATGGGGGTAGCAGAAAGTCAGGGTAGAAGTCTTTGACATGCAAAATAAGCTAACCATGCCATGGAGATTTGGGTAGAAGAATGGTGGAGTTAATAAGCTCCCCAAAGGTGAGGACAGAAACATCTTTTGATTTCTTGATGGCTTGTGAGTTCCTATATGGGACTGCTTTGAGGTAGAGGATGGGGGTGATAGTAATTATTTTCTTCTACAGTAAATAATATTTTCTGATTTGCTGTAGATGTCTCCTCCAGGGAGGACTTTCCTAGGAATGCAGACCAAGCGGACATCTTGAGAGTCTATTCAGCTGCGGAAGGTATGAGGGGAAAAAAAACCAACCTATGGGCAATAGGAAGAGAATTTGAATTCCTCTCCCAGGAGTCAACTGTTGGCAAACAAGTTATTCTCAAATTCCATTCCTTAAAAAAATAGCTGTAATACCAGGGTTTTCCGGTCTACCCCAAAGAGAACCAAAATCTCCTAGTCCAGAATGAGTGGAGATACGTTTTCCTGGAATGAGGTACTGTGCCTAGTCTGAAACCAACCAGTCTTCGGGTTGATCAGGGGAGCAAGACCTGCTGATTCAGTTACATTTTTAAGATTGTTGTCCTATAAGAAATCCTTACTCTCTGTCCTCTGCCTCACTCCTCTACTAGATTCCAGGTACTCTGATCTTCTGCCGTGCTTGGAACTCCCTCTTTCCACCCTCCCCCTAAATGAGAAGGAAAATTGATTGGTGTCTATTTCCCTTTAGGCTATGTGGCATACCGAGATGAGAATGGCTCAGACTTTATCCAGACTCTTGTAGAAGTTATTATAGCTGACCCTCACCAGGACCTTCTGGAGCTTCTGACTGAAGTGAGTGACTGAAGGGCAGCTGAACTCCTTTCCTCATTTATCCCAAGACTTACATGCTCTCCCTCTCATTTAAACAGGATAATCTCATTGCCTCAGAGAGCCCCAACTTAGGGAGCTTAACTCAAAGCCCTGCAGAGAAGCCTACCTCTAGTCTTATTTTTGCAGGTAAACAGGCAGCTGTGTGAGATGGATGTGCTTGGTCCAGACTGTGATGAAATACGAAAGATGAACTTGGAGATCAGGAGCTCCTTGAGAAAACGATTATATCTAAAGGTCTGAGAGTCGGAAAGCAAGGCAGTGAATTTGGACCTTCAAGGACCCTATCCCTCATTTTTTCACAACTTTTTTTGTCTTTCTTTCTCCAGTGCCTGGCACATAATAGGTGCTTAATAAATTCCTTTTTCCCTCCAATCTTATTTATGTATTTGTTATCTTTCCTTTCGCCCCCCATTGAACAATTGAAAAAGAAAACCATTATGAAAATGTTATAAATATATTTTAATAAATATATAACAAACACATTCTTATGTTGGCCACGTCCGATGTATGTTTCATTTTACTTTTTTTTTTTTTTGTCTAGGAAATGGAGTTAAGTGACTTGCCCGGGGTCACACAGCTAGTAAGTGTTATGTGTCCGAGGCTGCATTTGAACTGAGGTCCTCCTAAATCCGGGACCGGTGCTCTATCCACTGCCCCCTCATTTTACTTTTTAAGACCATCACTTCTCTGGCAGGAAGTAGATAGCAAACTTTTCAAGCTTTCTGTAGTTTTGCTTCAGTTTTGGATTGGGCAAGGTAGAGAGTCAAGAGATTTACTCCCAACCTTGACGTCCTTTATAGTGCTTACTCTAGGGCAGGGGTGGGGAACCTGCAGCCTCGAGGCCATGTGTGGCCCTCTGGGTCCTCAAGTGCAGTCCTTTGACTAAATCCAAAGGGCCTAACTTGAGGGCTTAGAATGCCACATGTGGCCTCGAGGTTGCAGGTTCCTCACCCCTGTTCTAGGGATTAGAGAATATACTGCAATTCCTATCATTTCCACTGTGAATTCCCTCAGGGATGGAAATCAACATTAGCACATCTTGGAAGATATTAGGAAATGGCAGCTGTTATATAGACCCTGATCCTGTCTCTACCTTTGGGTTGATTTTTTCCTTTTTCTCTACCGAGTCAGTTTTTCAGTTGAGGGCAATTGAACCCATGCGTGGGGCAAAGGGATTGTTTTTGTAAAGTAGAAGATAAAGACATTTTTTTGCACTGGAAAGATTTCCAGACAATATGGATATGATGCTAAAGAGTGCTGAATTACAATCATGAAGACCTGAGTTCCAGTTTAGGCTTTGTCAGCTTAGGCAAGTACTTCACATTTTTTTTGGTTTTGTTTTTTGGTTAAGCAATGGGGTTAGGTGACTTGCCCAGGGTCACACAGCTAGTAAGTGTCAAGTGTTTGGTCTGAGGTCGGATTTGAACTCAGGTCCTCCTGAATCCAGGGCTGGTGCTCTATCCACTGCGCCACCTAGCTGCCCTTCTTGTATGTCTTGCTACCTGGATCCACCTAAATTCTCTCATATTCCAACTGAAACTTCTAATATTCAAGTTACTGATGTCAGAGACTCTCTGAGCTAGAGGCCATCTGATGCCAACCCAGAGTACCCTCTACAACATACCAAATAAATGGTCATTCAAACTTTGCCTGGAAGGCCTCGGTGAAGGGGAAACCATTCCCTCCTGACAGCCTGTTTCCACTTCTTCACAGTCTGTTTGGAAGTTTTTCCTTACGTCTAGCCTTAATGTAAGTAAACCCAATGTGGGCCTTCTAATGGATAGTAAGACCTGAATCAATTAAAGCAGAGGTGTCAAACATGTCTAGCATGAGCTAGATTAAAATGTACTTGGGAAATACTTAACAAAAGTGTAACAAAACATAGATGACATATATTTTAAAACTAGGTCAATATGTGGACCCCAGGGATCCTTATGTACAGAGTAGTGGTCCCTGTTTCTATTTGAGTTTGACACCACTGAATTAAAGCATATATTATATTCTGAACCCTAACTGGAGTCTCATGTGTTTTATTTGTCGTGTAACTGGATGTAAATAGTAACCAAAACATTTTCCATATTTCCTCCAGCTATTCATGAATCTCTGGTATGAATTCTCTAGTGTCTGCTAAACTTTTCCCACAGTCTTAGCATTGACAATGTGGGTTGCCTAGTACATGGTAAGAATTGAGCCCTGAATATAGCATTTATTTTTTTCCTAAGATGTTCTAGAATTAGAGCCTTGTTGCTGTTCAGTTGTTTCAGTCATGCCTGACTCTTTGTGACCCCATTTGGGGTTTTCTTGGCAAAGATACTGGAGTGGTTTGCCATTTCCTTCTCCAGCTCATTTTACAGATGAGGAAACTGACGCAAACAAGGTTAAGTGACTTGCCCAGAACCACACAGCTAGTCTGAGGCCAGATTTGAGCTCAGCTCTCCCTGACTCCAGGCCTGGCAATCTATCCACTTTGCCACCTAGCTGCCCTCATCTAATCTAACCCCCTTATTTTGCAAACAAAAATCTCAAGCCAATTCCTGCATCATCAGCTGTACACACTATACTGCTGAAGTATAAACTAAAACTTTCCTTACACTTTGGTCACATATATGGCTTCTTTTCTATGTAGAAGCTCTCATGGATCCTCAATCTCCTGTAATACTTAAATCAGTGTGTAAATTCAGGGCATTCATTGGGTTTTTATCCCTCTTGGGCTCCATTGCACTTACTCAACAAGGAGCGCTACCAAGGAAGCTGTTCTTAACCTTCCTCTCTATGTAGAGTTTTGCTCTGGTTTTTTCCCCCCGGGTGCCCAGTAAAACACGTCTGCTGGTGCAAATGTTTGTTTTTTCCTGTGCTGACCACATTAAGAGGGCTCTCTTCTGTGAAAGTCAAATAGTACCAAACTAGATAAAGTCACCACTATGCAGCTAACTCAAGCCTTGATTGACTGCACCCTCAGCCTCCTCTCCCCTCTACTCAGAGGGCTGGAGAGTGGAGCGTCACACACTCCCAGTGCCTTCCTTTTTAAAAGGCAGAAACTGGACTCTCAGAACACTCCACCTTGCATCTGCTGCCCTTCCTGCTTTCAACTTCACGGAACAAGATGCCCCCGTGGCTAGGTGCCACCTGGTGTCCTGTGCCTCCCCCAGCCCCTGCCTCTTTTTGTGTATTATCTCCCCTTTAAGATTGTAATCTCACTGAAGGCAGGGGCTATCTTTTTACTACTTGTATCCCCAGCATTTAGCACAGTACCTAGCATGTCAGAGCTGCCCTGCTATGAGCAGAGGAGAACTCACTGTCCTGCCTGGGTAGAGATTTCATAGATACTGTCAACCTTATTTCTAATCTTTCCCTGGTGGACCCTGTCCAAAGCATCACAAAGTCTGGTTGAGTCCCTGACCCTTGCTTTCTTCTCAGGCTCAGATTGGCTGAGTAGGCTCAACTGTCTTTGGGAGACTAGTCACAGACCTTGTCCTCAGTTTATGAATCTAAATGCAGCCCAGGATACCCCATCAGGGAGTCTCTCCTGGTGGTCCACAGCATTCCAATTGGTAACCCTTGCTGTGCAAGACTGCTGAGACAGTGCCATGCTCTGGCATGCTTCTGTGCATGCTTATAGCAGCCTCAATGCAGCTGCTCTAAATTTTAGTGCCAGAACACCAGGATTAATGGGTGGTCAGTTTATGCCTAAGAAATGTTAATGGTATATTAAGGGATTCCCTTTTCAAGGGCAGGGAATTCCTCTGTGGGGAGACCAATTCACAACACCCTGAGATAACTTGAAGAAAGCAAAATCAGACTCAATGCAGACAGACAAATGAATACCTGCTGGTGAAGTCAATTATCAAAATGAAAATACTTTCTAAATCTAGCCCAAACTTCTTCCTCAGTTGATCAGGCCAAGGGGATGGTCATTCATGGATCAGGGTGATTTGACCAAGTCTAACCCACCTGAGCAGTAATGCCATCTGTTCAAAGAAAATCAAGTAGAAATGAATTTTATTTACCCAGTTCCTCATTTTCATCACCTGCACAGGTGATTCTAAGCAGGTGGAGTCCACCAGAGTTCTGGTTCACAACTCCAAGATGATCTGGTGGCTTCATCCACCTCGAATCCCACTACTGTCACCAATTGTGGGTGATCCAAGAATAACAAAACCCCAGAGTATCAAACTTGTGTTGGGGTTTATTGAGTTCTCCAGCAAAGGAGCCCCACCTTCAGGGCAGAGACTCTCCCAAGTGATTTTACAGAGGGCTTATATATGCTTAAACCACAAAGGAGGCGGAAGGCTTCAGGCAAAAGGAGATGGGTAGGGGATGTTGCAAGATCTGACTGATTAGATAAAATACTTTAACCTGAATGATAAAGCAAATTCCTGAAATCAGGGAACCTTTGAAGTCAAACAGATGTTATCACTCAGCATGTTCTTGTGGAGGGATCATTGGAGTCTCCAGCATGGCAAGGAAGTCCTTTAATCACTGAACTCATGTTTAACACAAGAGGGAGGGACTTGTGCTCAGTTCATCAAGATGGAAGGAGTTGTGCTTAGTTTGTGACCCATACTAGTGATAGCTGGGATTTCTTCCTCTAAAATGGACCATTCATGTGTTTTAACCATTTACCAATTGGAGAATGCTCTTTTGGGGGGGGGGGTAAATTTGACTTAGTTCCCTATATATCTTTAAAATTATGCCTTTTTCAGAGAAACTTGCTGCAAAGTATTTTCCCCTGTTTCCTAGTTTTCTTCTAATTTTAGCTGATTGATTTTGTTTGTGCAAAAAACTTACATTTTATGTAATTATAATTATCCATTTTACCTTCAGTGAACCTCACTATCTCTTGTTTAGTCATGAACTCTTCCCCATCCATAGATGTGATAGGTAATTTCTTCCATGCTCCACTGCTTATGATGTCACCCTTTATACCTTAATCATGTACCCATTTTGAACTTACCTCAGTATATGGTGTAAGGTGTTGGTTTCTGCCTAGTTTCTTTCTTTCTTTCCAAGTTTCTGCCATGCTGCTTTCCAGTTTTCCCACCAGTTTTTGTTGAATAGTGTGTTCTTACCTCAATAGCTGGAATCTTTGGGTTTATCAAACACTAGATGACTATGTTTATTTGCTTCTATATACTGTGTTATAATATGTTCCTCTGATCAGCTTCTCTATTTTATATCTAGTATCAAATTATTTTGACAGTTACGGCTTTGTAGTATAGTTTGAGATCTTCTAGGTTCTTCTAGGTAGGCCCCCTTACTTCCCATTAAAAAAATAGATTTCCTTGATATTCTTGACCTTTTGCTCCTCCAGATGAATTTGGTTATTTTTTCTAGCTCTATAAAAAATTCTTTGGTAGTTCGATTGGTATGCCACTGAATAAGTAAAGTAAATTAGGTCATATTTTCATTTTTATTATCCTGGCTTTGCCTATTCACGAGCAATTAATATTTCTCA